CTCGGGTACCCCTCCCAATAAGCATGTGCATGACAACACTTGGGCACCTCGGGTACCTCCCTGGGTACCTCGGGTGCCTCCTTGGGTACCTCGGGTACCACTCCCAAGAAGCATGTGCATGACAACTATTGAGCACCTTGGGTATTGGGTCCCTCGGGTACCCCTCCCAGCAAGCACGTGCCTGACAACACTTGGGTACCTCGGGTACCTCCCTGGGTACCTCGGGTACCACTCCCAATAAGCATGTGCATGACAACTATTGAGCACCTTGGGTATTGGGTCCCTCAGGTACCCCTCCCAATAAGCATGTGCATGACAACACTTGGGCACCTCGGGTACCTCCCTGGGTACCTCGGGTGCCTCCTTGGGTACCTCGGGTACCACTCCCAATAAGCATGTGCATGACAACTATTGAGCACCTTGGGTATTGGGTCCCTCGGGTACCCCTCCCAATAAGCATGTGCATGACAACACTTGGGCACCTCGGGTACCTCCCTGGGTACCTCGGGTGCCTCCTTGGGTACCTCGGGTACCACTCCCAATAAGCATGTGCATGACAACTAAGCATGTGCATGACAGCCATTGGGCACCTCGGGTACCTCCCTGGGTACCTCGGGTGCCTCCTTGGGTCCCTCGGGTACCCCTCCCAATAAGCATGTGCATGACAACAATTGGGCACCTCGGGTACCTCCCTGGGTACCTCGGGTGCCTCCTTGGGTACCTCGGGTACCACTCCCAATAAGCATGTGCATGACAACTATTGAGCACCTTGGGTATTGGGTCCCTCGGGTACCCCTCCCAATAAGCATGTGCATGACAACACTTGGGCACCTCGGGTACCTCCCTGGGTACCTCGGGTGCCTCCTTGGGTACCTCGGGTACCACGCCCAATAAGCATGTGCATGACAACGATTGAGCACCTTGGGTATTGGGTCCCTCGGGTACCCCTCCCAATAAGCATGTGCATGACAACACTTGGGCACCTCGGGTACCTCCCTGGGTACCTCGGGTGCCTCCTTGGGTACCTCGGGTACCACTCCCAATAAGCATGTGCATGACAACTACGCATGTGCATGACAGCCATTGGGCACCTCGGGTACCTCCCTGGGTACCTCGGGTGCCTCTTTGGGTCCCTCGGGTACCCCTCCCTATAAGCATGTGCATGGCGTCAATTTGGGCACCTCGGGTACCTCCCTGGGTACCTCGGGTGCCTCCATGGGTGCCACGGGTACTCCGCCCAATAAGCATGTGCATGAAACCAACGGGCGCCTCGGGTACCTCCCTGGGTACTTCGGGCGCCACCTAGGGTCCCCCCCCAATGGGCCTGTGCACCACCTTGGGCACCACAGTGGGTGCACCCTTGGGCACCTCCCCGAGCACCGCCCCGGGCGCCCCACGCGTGGAGTCCGAGTCCCTCCCGGGTCCAGAACGGTGGAAGGCCCACCCACCGACAGCCATGGACAACGACGCGGCGGGGCCTGGGTCCCACATCCCCCTCCGCCCCCTTTAAGGGGCCTTTGACAAGGTGGATGGCACCCCACCGACAGCTATAAACGAATGGGAATGCAACTCGCTGTCCGCGGGCAGACCAGGTGGAAGGCACACCCACCGACAGCCAGAAAGATGGATTGCTGGTGTCGCCCCGCTTCCCTAACCTGCGGGGTGCTCGTGAGTGTGCTCATCGAAAGTGCAATAATCGCACTATCTTACCAGCGCCCCGTGCGGAGGAGGAGGAGGGAGGAGGAGGGAGGAGGAGGAGGAGGCCTCAGTTCTTCGAGTCCATCGGCATCATGACGCACCTACATCTATAGACAAGGCCCACGCCTTCTAAGAAGCAGGGGTGCTTCTGCGAAGCCTTCCCCCCTCCCCCTACCCCACTCTGCGCGTGGCTGATCAAAGATGGAGTCCTGAGGGATGGGGCCGTGAGGACGAGGTGCCTCAAGCAGTGTTGATCCACTCCTGGATCCCTTCCTATACTTTGTCGGAAACTGGTACATATACATTACCAGTGGCGGGCTTTTTTTCAATCACAGGACTTCTTGAGGGTCGAGGACGACGCTGGGGTGGTGTGGTGTATACTTTTTCCTCCGATGTCCTGGGGAAACAACGCAACGTGTATACACCCGGGTCCCGTATACACCAGGATCCGTTCTCCAGTGCAAAATTCCAATGCAGGGCCGGAAGAAGCGTCAGTGCACAGTAAAAAACCCGAATAAGGACGCGCGACTTTGCTCAGGGTACCCTTGCGTCCTTGCTCTTCCTTGCTCTTGCGTCCTTGAGGTGTTCGTCGCCCGTCGCCCCAAAAATCCCAACTTCGGCTTCCAAGGGTATTGCGTCCTTACCGCGCGTCCTTATTAGGGTTTTTGACTGTATAGAGTCCGATTCTCTACTTCGGACCCCCTCCCCCGGCTCCCCGTCCCGCGCCCTCGGCATCGCTCGGACGTGTGCATTTTTCCTCCGGCGAGGACCATCGAGGAGCATCCTTGATCATTTCGCCAAAAAAACACGCACGCAACCGAATAAAGCACAGGAAGTGGACGTCCGAGCGATGGCCAGCGCTCGCCCCCCCCCCCCCCCCCTTCGCGCCCCCCCCTGCCTCTGCCGCCCTCCCGCCGCCGTCGCTGCCCCCGTCGCTGCCGCCCCACCCCTGCCCAGCTCGCCCATTTCGCGGCCTCCACGACGACCTCTCCGACGATCTCGCCGACGGCCTCGACGGTGACCTCGACGACGATCTCGACGACGTCGACGACGACGTCGACGACGACGACGACGGCGACGACGACGGCGATGGCGACTGCGACGGCGACGACGTCGAGTTCGACGACGTCCACGAGCTAGTCGAGGACCTCGACGACGCCCTCCTTGCCCCCGCCCTCCCCCCTCGATCCCTCGGTGCAGGGCGCACAAACTGGAACTGTGCTGGGTGTCACCTGCGGGAGCCAGGAATGTCCCGCTCTTGCCCCGGCCTTGGTCCCCTTGAGAGGGGGCACGTAGCCGCAGATACCAAACAAAAGGCCCTCGGTCCCCGTCGCCCTCGCGCCCCCCTCCTCCTGGGGTCGGCCGCCTCCGCGCCTCCCCCCCCGCCCCCCCCTCCTCCTGACATCCGCCGGTGTGGTGTGTTCGACCCGCGACCCTCCCCGTGGCTGGTGCCTTGCCCCTTGGGCTCCCCTCTTCGAGTGGGGGATCGGCTGCAGAACTGATTTGGCCCCTGAGTTGATTTTCTCTCCTCCCCCTCTTCCTCCTCCTCCTCCTCCTCCTCCTCCTCCACCCCCGCCTCCTCCACCCCCTCCTCCTCCTCCTCCTCCTCCTCCTCCTTGTTCCTCCTCCTCCGTTGATTTTCTCGTCCGCTCTGCAAAGCTAGCAGATCCACGGAGCCATCTCTTCGTACGGATCGCACATTCGGCTCACCATCAATTTGGGGGTGCATCAGTTCTGCAGCCGATCCCCCGCTCGAATCCTGGACTCCCCCGGGGCCCGAGCGACGGGCCTCGGGGGGGCGAGGTCTTAAGCACGGCCGCCCGTGGACCAGACCCCAGGGCCCCTTCTCCCCTCCGAGGGGCGACCCCCCCTCCATCCCCTCGCGGCTTTTTCCTCGGCGCTCGCACCGAGGCCCCGCACAAGAGCAGGCTCAAGCTTGTGATCGTTGTTTTTATGCGTCGTTGTGCCGAACGGCGCGGGCACTCTCCCTCCCCCCCCTCCCCCCTTCATTCAGGAGGCAAAGAAACACACAGACACAATTAATCTTCGATTTCTCCGAAAATATGGAAAAATATGGGAATTGGGGGGAAGACGAAAACCCAGAACATATAGGAAAAGATGGGACATCTTTTTATTCGTGTGTATTTCTTTGTGTGTCCTTGGGCCCCTGTCATTCATGGAGTAGATCTTGGCTGTCTGCTGGCGCCTGCTTCGGGCAGGTGGAGCCTCTCCCCATGGGACGCACTGCCGCAAGCAGTCGGCACTGCTCAGGGGTCTGGAGCCGGCCCCCGCCCCCCCCAACTTCCCACCCCCCTCCGCCCAGTGCCGAGACGCCGCGCCAGAGAGCGCTCCCCCTGCTGGACCCGCACACAGGGGGGGGGGGCGGCGGAGGCTGGAGGGAGGGCTCTCGAAACACGACCCCTCCCCCCTCCTCCTCTCCTCCTCCTCCTCCTCCTCCTCCTCCTCCTCCTCCTCCGCCCTCCTCCTCCGCCTCCTCCTCCTCCTCCTCCTCCTCCTCCTCCTCCTCCTCCTCCTCCTCCTCCTCCTCCTCCTCCTCCTCCTCCTCCTCCTCCTCCTCCCCCTCCTCCTTCTCCTCCTCCTCCTCCTCCTCCTCCTCCTCCTCCTCCGCGCGCCTGCTCCCGCGTGCCTCGCTGCCGGCCGTGGCCCGCCGGCCCGCGGCCGCAGGCGTCGAGCAGCCGGGCGCAGCGCCTTCCCCTCCCCCTCGACTCCGCCGCTCCGCGCCGCCGCGGCGGCCTGCGGCCCGTGTTGCTCCCGTGTTGCTCCTCCGCCCCCCCTCCTCCTTTTTGCCTTCCTCCTGCTCTGCCTCCCTCCTCCGTCCTCCTCCGTCCAGCCGCCGTCCGGCTTAAGGGCTTCGGGTGCGGTTCCCAGGGAACCGCGAGCCCCACCGGTCGTCGGTCACGCGCTGGCCCCCGCGCGCGCCGCGAAAGCGGCGGCCGGCCGTTCCTGCCGCGCGCCGTCAGGCCCCAGCGGGCCGTGCCACGGCGCGCGGCCGTCGGGCGCTCAGGCCTCCTGAGCCTGCCTGGCACCGCAGAGCCCGCCTGGCCCGCAGCCAAGCACGGACTCTGCTCCGCGTTCGTTCTGCAGTACGGCTTCTTCGTCATCATCATTCTGCCATGGGGCCGCCATGGGCGCGTTCCCCGTCTCGCGCGCGCCGAGGCGCTGCGGCCCGCGAGGCATGGTTTTGCCAGAAATGTGGTGCTCGCAATACTGGGCGCTGGTGTGGTGTCTGCTATCCGTCCTCGCCTTGTCCTCGTTCGGCGACGGCCCCGTCTGGGCCCGAGGACGCCAAGCAGGTGCCGCTCCCCCCTGGCCAGAGCCAAGGCGCACCAGAGCAGCCTCAGACCCGTGGTGCCTCCAGGCCGCCGCCCGCGGGTCACGCTGCTCCGACCAACATCGCTTCCATGGAGGTTGCCAAGGCACACCCCATGTGGGTCGACCCTCCCGCTGCGGCGGCGAAGAGGGCCAAGCACCGTGCTGCCTTGAAGGAGGCAGTGTCTGCGCTGGAAAAGCGCATCGTGGCACAGAAGGCCCTGCAAGCCGAGAGCCCCCAGCTGGCGCCGCTGGAGCTCGAGCTGAATGTCTTGCAGTTCGTGTACTTGTTCGCCTACCCTGCCAAGAAGCGGGCGGCGAACCAGCGCTCGTACGTCGAGCGCGCCGAGCGCCGCCTCGAGCAGGCCGAGGCCGAGGAGACCAAGGCCGCCACTGCTCTGCAGGCTGCCACCGTGCATCGCCAGGCGCTCGCGGCCGGCCTGGAGCAGGCCAGAACGGCGCTGGGCAAGTTCGAGGAGCTTGCGGAGCAGGAGATCAAGCAGGTGGCCTTCGCGGAGCCAGAGGCTGCGCCGTTTGCTCATTCAGGTGCTTCCCCATTCCGAGAGGCTACTCAATCCAGTGCCTCTCCAGTGACGTCTGCGTCGCCAGCAATGCCACAGGTCATCGCCGACTTGCAGAAGTCCCAGTCCGACCTGGTCGCCAACTTCTCGACGCTGGCGGCCACCATGGCCCAGATCCAGGGCAGCCTGGCCCTCATGACAGGAGCCGCTGCTGCTGCCACGCCTCGCCTTGCGGCTGCAGCAGGGCTCGGGCCCGTGACTCCTGCTGCTGCTGCGCCCGCCGCCGCAGCCCCACCAGAGCTGCCCTCTGTAGCTGCGGCTGCGGCTGGTGCCGAGGCCTCTGGCGGCGACGGCAGGGGCGGGAGGGCCAAGGCGATGGTGGCGGCGGCCATGTCAGCAGCTGCGCACAAGGCTGCCAAGAAGAAGGCTGCGTGGCAGCGTGCCGTCGCCAACGCGCCCGGCCAGGTCACCCTCGTGTCCGCTCTCGGACGCTCTGCTGCGACTTCGGGGCCTGGCGACGAGGAGCTCTGCGAGCCGCCCCGCAAGTCCCAGCGCCTCCCAGCCGACGGGACCCCGTCGAGGAGTTCGCCGACTCGGACGAGATGCAGGACGCCGACGTGGGCGACACCATCGGGTCGCAGTCGATCCCGGAGCGCGGCCTGCCCACGCAGTCTTTTCGCTAGCCCGACGGGGGACGCAGCTGGCAGAGACAGGCCGTGGGCTGTCAACTGCCCTTCCCGACGTCCCACCACCGCCCCCCCATCCGGGCTGCCCAGGTGTCCCGGCTCCTCTTGCTGAAGCTGGGGTCTCTCAGCAAGGGGCCCGTGGGTGCTCCCACAGCCCCCTCCCCACGGCCCAGGAATTGGGTCACGCCATTCACCGTCTGTTTCGCCCCTGGTCTCAGGATCTCTGCAGGCATACCCATGCGTTTGCCAAGTATTGGCATTTGACTACTGTGAACGAGTTCCCGCTGCTCAGCTCTTCTGAAGAATTGGGCGATGTGGTTCGAATTCATATGTGTACTGATGGCTCTGGAGGTGCTTCTCGGAATTCCGTTCGTGGGCCTCCTGCTTGGTCGTTCGCTGTCTTGTACTACGACGCCTGTGATCGAGGGTATTTGGCTGGGTTTCTGGGAGGCTCTCTGGATCCAGACGCTGCCCCCCATTGTTGCACCTTTGGTCGCTGAGATTGTGGCGGCCCAATGGGCCCTTGCTTGGCTACTTCAATCGGGGTGCTGTCTCTGGGATGTTCCTGTCGCGGTATTCGACGACTGCTTAGAAGCTCTCAGAGTTGCCTCTGGGGGCGCCCTGGCTTAGTCGTTGATTTGTCATCGGGAGGCTTTGGATTCTCTGGCCAAGGTTGTTCGCGCCCTGGTTTCGGATGTGTCTTGGGAACATGTCGAAGGCCACGTTGGTCATCCTTGGAACGAGCTAGTGGACACTATCGCTCACTCGGCTTCTACTGGGCACCCCCAGCTTCCTGCGCCCGACGGCTCGTGGAGGTCCAGATTATTGCCTGCGTCGACTCTGCGATGGGCCTGGTTGTTCTTGTCTCCTCCAGAGGCTCAAGCACAGTATCCGCCATTCGGAGGATCCGACATGCCAGAGTTCATTCCTGACGCTGATCCTGCCAGCATCCTTAGAAACATGTTAGGTGCCGCCTCTGCGCAGGCTGCCCCTGTCGATAGTGCTCAGCAGTCTTCACCTCTCTGGTTTGCGTCTGCTAGCGTGCTCACGCGCGACTCTCAGGCCTCTGTTCACGCCAAGGCATGTCGCAAGACTGGGTTGCACATGCCGGGCAGGATGCGCCATCTAGGGGGGGGGGGGGGGGGGGCATGTTTGCCAGACATGAGTTGTTTTTTGGTAGGCAATCAAGAGACCAGATTTTCTCGCAGTGGCGTGTCCAAGTTAGGTCAGTAGCATGTCATTCATGCTCAGTGTTTGCCATCAGGGAAGTACGGATGCTCTTTGTGGGTCAATATTGTTGTCCCTCTTCTCCCTGGTGCGCGCGTTCTGCCGTCCCACTGCAGGGTTTCGTTCGCTTCGCCACGCCTGCTAGTCGTAGCTATCGCTGTGAAGCAATTTCGAATTGATGTCGCGGTCGGGCATGCACCTCGCAGCAAGACACCTCAGGAACTCATCCGTCAATGGTGGAGTCGCTGTTTTGATATTGATTCCCGTGTTCGGTCTCCTGACGCTGAGCTGGCAGGCCTTTTTGATGCTAATGCTCGTCTTGGGTCCATCACCTCTCGGCACGCGGGCTCAGTTGCAGCAGCTCGGGAAAACCTTCCAGGACATGATTTCCATCAGCAATTGCGTAAGCTTAATCTGTGGGCGCCTTCTGCGTTCCTGGAGTCTGGTCAGGTTCTTGCCGGCACTTGGTTTCGTCCTGGACGTTCCGGCAGTTTGGGGCGCCGTCTGGACTACGTGGTATGTTCTTTCGGATGTCAGGTTCTCAAGCAGCGTGTCTTGGATGAGGTTGGCTTGTCGATCAACGTGATTGACCATGTTCCGGCAGCTGTCTTGGCGCGCGTGCCCGTTGCAGCTAAGTATATTCAGGGCTCCCGCGCTCGCAAGGTCAAGCGCGATCCTGCCCAGTTCGAGGACCCTGTAGCACGTGCCAACTTCTCGGCGGCGTTGAACAGATGCCTTGGTGTGTCTTTTCAGGTCCCTCCTTCCGATCACTTTCAGGCCTCGGCAGGGCACCTGCAGGTATCCCTGGAAGAAGCTTCCGCTACTCGGTCGACTTCTCGGTGCCGCGCCCCTCGTCAACCCTGGGTTTCTATTGGGTCTTCGGAGGCCATGGACAGGAGAGTGCAGTTACTTCGGGACTTTCGCAAGCTGCACGTCCATATGAATCGTCAGAAGTTGTCCATTCTGCTACATGTCTGGGCTTTACCACTCAGGGGTACGTGGTATTTCCACCGCCTCAGCCGCCTCCGCATCGCCGCTCGGCGCATGCGCCTGCCGCATCAAGTTTGGCTTCGCCAACTCCGATCGTCTCATCGGGTTCTCCGATCGATCGCGCAGGCCTCCGGCGAGGTGCTCGACACCGCCCGTCAGCTAAGGCTTCGTCGCCGCAAGGGTCGGCTCTGGCAGGCTCTTTCTCTCATTGTTGACTTGCTTGCTCGGCTGGGTGGTAGCTTCGATGTCTTCTGCGGCTATATTACTGGAGTTGATTAAACCAGTGCTGTCTTTCACGTATCTGATTCATCTGGTGTTGATTCTTACGTCTCTGGTACTTCGGCTGGGCTTGCTCATTGTTGGAGTGCCACGTCGCGGGTTGCTGCTCTCTCTTGGGGTCTTCGCACGATCGGCATGAATTGCCACGCTGCGGTGGTCAATCATCACGTCAAGCAGGATGCTAAGCAGCACGCGTCTGACTTGGCGGCGGAGGTCTCGAGCACCTGGTCCAGGCGTGATTTCAAGATTGCGTTTGCGAAGCTCCGTGCCATGGGGGCCTGCTCTCGCCGCAAGCAGTCATCTCGCCCGCTCCCGTTGCTCCATGGGCATGACGGTCAACCCCTTCGTGATTTTATTGCTGTTGCCGACTCTTGGGTTGAGCATTTTGGTCAGGTTGAAGCTGCACCCGTCATCCCTTTCTCGGATCTTGACTGGTTCTTTCACCATCTTCCTCGCCTCTCTCCCGACGTGCTCATGAACGCCCCCATGTCGGTGGGCGAAATCCCTTCGCTCGACCAGCTGGAGACCTCGTATAGGCGCGCCAGAAATACTGCGGCGGGCCCGGATGGCTTCTCAGGGAAGGTCGTGTCTTCGTTCGCTGCTGAACTCGCACGCTATTTACACCCGCTTTGTGTGAAAGCCACTGTTCGTGTTTGCGAGCCCATCCAGTGGAAGGGAGGGTTCTACTGGTCGCTGTTCAAGTCTGGTTCTGCCCCTCAGCGATCGTGCTATCGCTCTATTCTGGGGTCGTCTCAGTTTGGCAAGCGGTTTCGGAGCATCGCTCGTGCGGACACCCTCCGGGTCTTGGCCTCGGTCGCTGGCGATCGTCAATTTGGGGGCCTGCCTGGCCGCGGGACCGAGTTTGGGGCCCTGGAGTTGAGGCTTTTTCAGCAGCTGGCCGAATCTAGACGGGCATCGGTTTTACTCATGTTCCAGGATGTCGTGCAGGCCTACTACAAATGGGTTCGTGAGTTGGTTATGCGCACCCCCAGCGACGATGCATCGTTGGCAGTGCTGTTGCGGGCCTGTGGTCTGCCTCCAGAGGCCATGCAAGAGCTTCAGGATTATATCGCCAGCAACCCTCCCATGATGGAGGCCAGCGGACTGCGCCCCTTCGGTGTGCTCAGGTCGCCGAGGCCGATGGCCCCTCTTGGTTTTACGTCCAGGATGCGACCACGATCGCCTTCCCCCAGCTTGGGTCGGGCCCCGGGCAGCAACTAGGCGATGTCGTTTTTAACTTCGTGATGTCATCTACTATGCAGCTTGTTCGTGACAGGCTTTTACCTCTGGGCATTGTCTTGCGTTTACCTACTGCTGCATACGCGTCCATGGCCGAGTATGGACAGGCGTCATCTGAACATCGTGGCCCAGTGCATCAGTCTCATAGCATGGAAGGTACCTTCTTCGACGATGCGGTCTTCTTTTTCTTGGGACTGGCTGAGCAGTGGCATACTGGGCCCGCTGCTGGCTGCCGAGATTGCGGATGCTTTTGCTGCTCGGGGGTTCCGGCTCAACACCAAGATTGGAAAGTCGCCCATGCTGTTCCAGTTCGAGGTCCTGGGTCCACCAAGGCCAAAAAGCAGCTCTGGGAGACTCTTGGTGGCGTCTTCACTGTTCCGACCCGGCTTTCAGGAACCTTGGAGGTGCATGCTGTGCATCAGTACGTGCATCTTGGGACGACTCGGGTTGACTATTGTTCCATGGGCCCGGAGTTGGCTCACAGCACGCGGTCGTGCGCAAGCGCGTGGCATTGCTTGCGCAAGCGCATCTTTCGCCAGCCCAGCATCGAGTCCTCTGTCGCCACTGTCCTGCTCGACTCCTTGGTGACCTCTGGGAAGCTTTTTCAGGCAGGTGCTTGGGGGTTCCTGTCTGAGGCGCAATTCCGTGGTCTCGAGGATGATGTTATTCGGTATTATCGCGCCATCTCCAAGCAGCCACAGAGAGACGGCTCGGCTGCCAACAACCTGGCTGTTCTCGGGGAGGTTATGAAGCCTCCTGTGTCTGCCTTGCTCAGTGCTCA